CTCTCTCTCTCTCTCTCTTGATCTTCTCTCGCGTGAATATGGTTTTCACTTCCCATGATTACTAGACACAAAAATTGTGGCCATGGTTACAGACATAGTCTTTGAAAGAATAGTGATGTGAAGTAGTACATGTTTATCCCCTTTCTCCTTAGTCTCTTTCTCTTTTTATTCTTCGTGTTTTTTCTATAAATCGTGAATCGATGGTAAGAAAAGAAAAAAAAAAAAATCGAGAAAAATAATAAAGTAAATCGAAAAAGGCCTAGTGTACGAAACAAAATTCGATAGGAATCTACATTTTTAAATGCATATAAAAAGAATTGCTTAGTAGAATTACTTAATAGAATTGTGTCTCATTAACATTTCATCTGTTTCTTCTTCAGAAAATATCGTCAAAATTAACTTATGTTAAACTACAACTTTGTTCTGATAACTTATGTAATAGTGAAATATAAAAAAATGTATCATCATCGAGTTTATATTTCTCGCTTCAAAATGTTCAATGTTTTATAAAGAGCATAAAATTGCACAAAAAGAATATTAATAATGCTTAATAATTTTTTATACGTACATTGCGCGTTATACGTTAATTATAACTTTTGCAGGAATATTATTTCGATGAATTGATTTGGTTTTCTGAGAAAATTCCCAATATGTATTCCCAATGATCATCAAGAAATATAATAAAAATAATTTCGTATAGTTTTGAGTGAATCCATTAACCCGGTGATGACGCAAAGGAACGAAGGAACTAGAAACTAGAAGAGAGAAGCAGGTAGATTACTAGCCAAGGCTAAATGCAAGACATTTAGACTCTATATTCGCAAGACTGAGATGGCATTTAAGGATTACAGGAATTTAGCATAATATAGCAGAAGTGAGAAGAGGACAACAAGCACAGGCGTTGTCGGTGCGATGAGAGGGCGATGGATGACGGTGGGAGATGGAGTCCGCGAGAAGGAATGCGCTCGAAAAAGGGATGTAGGTATTCATGGATTACCTCACTTGTCTCCGCTACAATCCTCCCAAAGCCTCCATTAGAATAATTACGCTTTCTCATCTTCGCGTTTACGCGGTTGTTATCATCTACCGTTTCCTCGATCCTTTCTCTTTTTAAAAAGAAAAGCATTCGTGTTCTTAGCAATGTATTGCCACGCTTTCATACGTACGCACAGTCTTTTCTCCCGCTATTCATAAAGCTTATTTTTTTGGCTTAACACGAAAATAAGTACTCACAAAAATTTTTTTATTAGAAAAATTTAAGAAAAAAAATATATCAAACTCTATAATACATAACTTTCTAACTATCCAAAAATATAGTCGAATAATCTCGGGTTATAATTTTAGTTAAGGATCAAATAAATAAACAATTATTTTTAAAAGACTGACAAATTATTTTTAAATTTTGTACAGAGATTATGAATTTTTGTATCTGTATTTAGCATTACGATAAAACACTGCAACTTTTTATTGATTCTTATATATAAATAAGTACAAATCCTATTTTACCCCCTTTCCCAAAATACTTTTATTTTTGATTGTAAAAAATGCTTCAAATAAAAGTTATATAAAGTTTCAAGAAGGTCATAAAATTATAATATTGATTTACAGATAACATCACTATCGAGATTTTCTATAATCATCTTTTTCTTAATGGAATTATATATTTTTTGTTATGTAGTATAGTTTTTTTTAATTATTCTAGAGACAAAAATATTAAAATACAAATTTCAAAAAGTCAATAGTTTGTAAAGTGTTTTATTCTGGCATATATTCTGATAAATATCTTGTAAATTATTAATTTTTGATAACAATATCTCAATATTTTTATGTCTAGAATAGTGAGAAATCAAAGGTGTAAAAAAATTATACAGTTATTAATATGCGAGACTCTTTTAAGACTACTTACTTTTTCTATACTATCCAGACAGCACAAAAAAGATATTTGACGAATATCCATAAGATGTCCTTTAAGGATATTGGAATATCCAAAAACCATCTGTCTTATGGCTTCAGATATTCAGCGGACGTCCATAATGTATCTGTTTATGAAATTGATGGACATACTTTAATCTCTGACATAATTCGCTAGATATTATGGATGGATGTTAAATGAATATGATAAAATGGAAATTTTAATTTATTTACATTAAAAGGATGAAAACAAAGTAAAATATATATATATTTTTTAAAATAATACCTTTAATGGGAAAAAAATCTTATAATTAATGCTATAAGCAGGTTAATTAATCACGGCATATAAAAATCTTGTCAATTCATGCTCATTCAATTAACAAAAAACTGATACTCCTAGAAAATGGCCGCGGTTTCCAAACGGCGCCAACACATGCTTGGATTAACAAAAAAAAAACAATGCTAACAGAGAAGAAAACTCGCACCATGTGAAACTAACTAGCAAGACAGCCAACATCGCTGCCAGCAGCGCTGCCATCAGTCAGTCATCAGTTCTAAAAGCCTATAAAAGAGAAAGAAGATCTAAAGCTGCGTCTTGATTGGTTTTCAAAATGAGCCGGCACGCAGGAAAAATAACACCGGATTTATCACAAAAATATCAACCAACAGACCAGCCAACAGCGTAGCCAGCAGGCTGTACAATTTCCAGTGTAGTAGTCAGCAAAATAGCCAGCATAGAAGCAAACAGTCAAAAAAAGCACCGTGTGCCGCTATGTGACACGAATTATATATATTTTCAGTACTGTGAATATCGGAACACAGCTTATATTTTAACTATTATTATTACACTAGTAATGAATTTAGTACAACCTTTTTTTGTAGTGAAACTTCAGCTATGTTCCAAAATTTGCTGTCAACACAACTAATGTATAGTATAGTAGTAACTATAGATTGTCAGTACTAGCAGTAAATTTTTGAACAGTCTTTGACCATGGCTCAACTATCGTCTGTCTTAACATAACCTTGACACGTTTCTCGAATGCGATAGTAAACAAGTGAAACAATTTTATCAATCTATTTCCTTAATTAGGTATCTATAATTAAAAAAAATATTTTATATTTATAGGAATGATAATTTCACGCTTACTCAATTGCAATTACAATTATGATTCATACAATAATTAGATTCTTTCAGAAGTCAACATTTGATCACTGTAATGTTACAATGTGTTGTAAAACGATTATTTTATTGAATTTATTCTTATGTTTGAAATGCTTTATTCGAGAAGAAATCCATGGCACGATTTTCTTTGCATTACAGAATATTCCACAATGTCTGAGAATACGAACGAAACAGTAGTTGAGAAAGAAATCGCCGTTGAAGACCCAAATGCTGTTTCAGAAGAGGATAAGCAGTTTTTAATGGAATATGTTCTGGAAGCAGAACAGAGACTTACGACGAAAGAAGAAATTCGTGCAGCTAATCTAAATCCCACAAGACCTCCAGATGCATCATTCAGTAAACTCGACTCAAGTCTAAAAAGAAACACTACATTTGTCAAGAAACTGAAAAACTTCAGTGTGACCCAACTCGACACAGTTTTAAAAGATATGGCAAATTTAAATCTGACCAAATATATAAGTGAAGTTGCCACTGCTCTAGTAGATGCCAAAATAAAGATGACTGATGTTGCACCCGCTATTAGAGTATGCAGTTTCCTCCATCAAACATATGCTGAGTTTTCTACTCATTTTTTTGAAAATTGGCAAAGAGTATTATCACTGAAGGTTGGCGACAAAATCACAAATCCCAGCAAATTGAGAGTAGATCTTCGATTTTATGCAGAGCTGATAAATGCTGGGATATTTACACATAAACAAGGCTTACCTTTACTTGGCTCGATATTGACTATGTTGATCAATATGGATAAGGAGGAACATAATAATGCTAGTATAATATTAAGTTTCTGTCGACACTGTGGCGAAGATTATGCTGGCCTTGTGCCTAAAAGAGTGCGAGAACTGTCTGAAAAATTAAATGTTTCAATTCCAAAAAGTAAATTGTTGTCTTCAGACAAACAACAAAATGTTAAGTTACTGCTGCGTGATTATTATAATTCAATGTGTAAGCACTTGCTAAAGGAACATAAAGAATTGCAAGCATTTGAAAAGCAGAATCGCAAAATACTGCAAACTAGAGGAGAATTGAGTTTGGAACGAAAAGAAAAGTTAGAAACTCTACAAGTCTCTTATGAACGTTTATTAAATAGCGTACAAAGTTTTTCTGATACATTAGACGAACCAATGCCCGAGCTTCCAGTGGATAATGAAATTAAGGCAGAAACGGAAGAAATGCTAAAGATGATAAATGAGGGAGAAGATAATACTACATTAGAGGATATGTGGGGTGATGAAGAAACAAGACGTTTTTATGAAGTGTTACCAGATTTGACCGTCTTCCTACCGGGTTCATATTTAAAAGATACCTCAAAGGATACTTCAAAAACAGATATAGCGATAACGGAGGATGCTCTTGATGAAGAAATAGTTTTTGATGAATTAGAAGACACTGAGAAGATTGAAGAACCACCAGAGGTGGAAATAGAAGAGCCACAGGTATCTAACACGAGCAACAAGATACTGTTGGATGCTTTTCTGACACACCTACCAAACTGTGTGAATCGCGAAATGATTGACAATGCCGCAGTAAACTTTTTGATAAATCTTAATACGAAACACAACAAGAAAAAATTGGTAAAGGCTCTTTTCGGCGTTTCTAGAATTCGTCAGGATCTACTACCTTTTTATTCTCGTTTAGCAGCTATTCTCTATTTGGTGATGCCTGAGATTGGCAATGACTTGTGCCAAATGCTAAAACAAGATTTTAAATATCATGTGCGCAAGAAGGATCAAATAAACATCGAATCAAAAATAAAAGTAGTTCGTTACATCGGTGAACTTGTTAAATTCAAACTTTATTCTAAAATAGAGGCATTGTACTGTTTGAAAGTTCTATTGCATGATTTTACACATCATCATATTGAAATGGCTTGCAACTTGCTTGAGATTTGTGGCCGATATCTTTTCTGTTCGCCAGATTCTCATCAAAGAACTAAGGTTTACCTGGAGCAGATGATGCGTAAAAAGGCTGTTACCGCGCTCGATTCACGCTATGTCACGATCATTGAAAACGCGTACTATTTTGTGAATCCACCTGAATCAACTGGCGGCGTCATGAAAAAAGACAGACCACCTGTACATGAATTTATTAGAAAACTATTATATCAGGACCTTTCTAAAACAAATACAGATAAGGTGCTTAAATGGATGCGTAAACTTGATTGGGAGGATGAAAATGTATCATCTTATGCTATAAAATGTCTCACTGCAGCTTACAACGTCAAATATCCTAATATCCGATGCGTGGGAAGCTTATTAGCTGGCTTAGTAGCTCATTACGAGACTATCGGGCCTCAAGTAGTCGATGGTGTACTTGAAGACATACGATTATGTATGGAAATCAATCTGCCCAAATTCAATCAACGGCGCATTGCCATGGTCAAGTATTTGGGCGAGCTGTATAACTACCGAATGGTGGAGAGTGGCGACATTTTTCGTACTTTATATTTGCTCATCACATTCGGGATTAGTGTAGACCATTCATTACCGAGCGTGCTCGATCCACCTGATCACCTCTTTCGTATTCGCCTGGTGTGCACATTATTGGAGACATGCGGCCAGTACTTTAGTGGCGGATCTAGCAAAAAAAAGCTTGACTATTTTCTTGTATTCTTTCAGAACTACTTTTGGTTCAAGTACACAGACCCGATTTGGACATCTGAGAATCCGTTTCCTGTCGGAATAGATTACATGTATCGCGATACATTAACGATGCTACGACCCAAAATGCAATTGTTTCAGAGTTACAAGGAAGCGCAATGTGCTGTGGAAGAATTGCGCAATACTCTATATCCGACTTTAGGTAATCCTCCCATTGATGACACTGTGGAAGGCGACAACGACATGAGCGTTATTATGGAAGGCGACGAAGAAGCAGCGATAATCGGAAATGGTAGTGGAGACGCAAAAGGTATTGCCGAGCTGCATTTTGAAGAATCTGAAGATTGTTCAGAGGCGCAGTCAGAAGAGGAATGGATAGCCGATGTGGAACGGGATGATGCTATGGGTACTCAGGAAAACACTCAGGGTGATCGATCTCAGAGTCTGTCAGCGGATGGTGCCACTGAAGGCGTAATCATGGATGTGACTGAGGAATTAAATGCAGCTTTGCCAGCTGGACCACGACGCGTGAGCTGTCCAGAAGACGATGATTTCTTGTCAGCGTTAGATAAAATGGTTTCAGACAACATACAAGATCGCATGCGAGATTCGGTAAAACCACAACAAGTTGATATTTCTGTACCATTGCATGTGAAGAGTACAAAAAAGACATATGAACAGCTACAAGAGAGACCGACTGATAATAACACAGTAGATTTTGTGTTAATGCTGAGGAAGGGTAACAAACAACAATACAAAAATCTTGCGGTACCAGTATCATCCGAGTTGGCTATGAATCTTAGGAATCGCGAACAGGAACAGAAGGAGGAGAAAGAGCGCGTAAAACGTCTAACTTTGAACATTACTGAGCGGCAAGAAGAGGAAGATTATCAAGAGACTATGAATCAAAGCACGAGACCGGTTACTGTAAATTTGAATAGAGAACGGCGACAAAAATATAATCATCCTAAAGGGGCGCCTGATGCCGACCTCATTTTTGGACCAAAGAAAATTCGATAAGTTTGATTAATAACTCTTAAAGCTGAACGATTATATTCCATTGGAAAATTAATGATGCATCTGTGAAATTCAACTTACATTTTGGACTCGTCTACTCAACTCCCATAATTAAGTAACTTTGATTATAGTTTTACCACTTTTTATTATATTTTCAAAGTTTTTTTTTTTTTAGACAAAAGTGGTATATTGAATGTATCAGAACTTGGACAATACAAATGTATCATATGTATAGATGAGATGTAAGTTAGTGCATTTAAACGAATCAGAGGTAGATTATAAGACTGATACAGTAAACTCTCATTAAAAAAGAGTAATTAACTTCGATATATATTATTCAAATTTTTCCTTGATCGATATGTAAAAAAATCAATATGTGGAATATTACAACGCACTGCCGATTTTTTTATTAAGGGCAGAGTTTATTGTATCATATAAATAAACTCTTAATGCAAGATATGATATAGATATGATATATAGCAATTGATATATTATTTATTATACACATTTGATTGAAGAATTTATGTATCATGTATGTTATCACTAAACATTTTTACACAGATTTATATTCAATTATTATTTTATGATTTTCAACAAAAGCTGTGTTGTGATATAATATATCAATTTGTATACATGATGATATTTTTGACACTATTTCATATTATATTTGAAAATGTCCTTTTTTTTCTCTATAGAAATCACTCATATAGAATATATAAATGAAGTGAAATTTGCAGACTGCATCAAACTTCCTATTGAAAGAGCAAAACGAATAAAAAACTCAACATTGATGTACAATTATTTATTTTTATCTAAGAAATTATCGTCATGTACAAAATGAATATAAATAAATGTTTTAGGTGCTTAAACATTTGATGGCTCCGCAATAAGTTTTATAATAATGATATTTACGTATATCTACCGAAATACATGAAATTGATAAACATATAAATTAACACTAAATACGTATCATTACTTCTTACGGATCTTCTTCCGCATCTTCAAATTGACCCGCTTCGATATCCATAGCTTCTTCTACCTCTACTGTATGAGTGGTTTCCATTTGCTCTGTTAATGTTAAAAATCTTTATAATAATGAACAATAAGAATCTTTTTTGTCAATCAATAAAAATCTTGGCTGTCTAATATATTTTATATATATATAAAAATTCAAGATAAACGTTTATGATTATTCACGTATCGTTATTTTTAATGAACTTATATAGCAACGTAGCGATTTAAAGCTAGAGCTAAATTTTCCGCTTTAATTGATATTTCTAGTGTAAATATGATATCAAGATTAATCCTTTTCTTCATAAAAAATTATCGCGAAAAATATCTGTCAGGATTTGAACCTGGAACTTTTCAACTATCTGTATCGGATATACCAATTCAATTCACTAAAGCATGTAATAATATTTATCGCAATAACCAGATATGTAGTGATAAGGACATCATTTTTCAACCAATGTAAAAAATAAACCACTCAATGGGATAGGCCGAAAATAGTAGATAATAATGGACAATATTTGGCAAGAAGAATCATAGGAATCTAATACTTTCTTTTTTGAATTTACATATAATAAATTTATATGATACATATTCAAATGTTATTATTCACAAATAAACATTATAAAATTATATGTATGTGTGTGTATATCACACACACACACACACACACACACAATTACAGAATATATATTCAAATTTATATACATTCAAAAATTAAAACAGATTATTTAGTCGATTCTTTTTTGTTGAGTATTACCCATTATTATCTGTTATTTAAACACATTTTTGTTATATTATTTGAAGAGCTGAATGTTCAACATATTAAATTCAAATTAATTTATACAATCCATTTGACAAAATTGTGAGCAGAAAGCATAAAAAAATTAAGCTTAAATATAAATAAAAGATATAGATGTTACCTGTCGGTAAAATACAAGGTGCGTCTCCAGCGCCTACTTCTTCATCATATTCACCTTCATAGTCTTCTTCGGCATCTTCATAGATATCCTCTTTGGTTAAAAGAATTTTTAATCACTGTGATTAATGGGAAATAAAATCATTATTTCATTTAATTACTCACCGTCTGAAAAGCTATCCTGTGGATCAGGATGAAGTGCCTGACATGCATTCATTGCTTGAAACATTAATTCTAAATTATTTGTATTATCTGGTGCAAATTGCATTTCTGTAATTGGAGCATTTGCATCATCATCTTCATTTTCTGAACCATTTTCAGATGATAACGGTAATGCCATATCTGCATAAATAAAAATATATAAGAATATTAAACTTATCAGAGAAATTTTTAAATAACAATATTAATATAAATTTGAAGATAAATTATAATTAATCAAGGAGGAGTCTATAAGATTAAATGATTTTTATCAATTATTAAGTATTTTTATTTTGAATGATGTACCTGGCAAATCTACTTTAGCATCAACCATAATGTATAAACATTGTCTCGGATAAACTTGTTCATCTCGTGCAATAGCATGCAATGAAATATGAGGATATTCAAGTGAAAATCCTTGTTGTGTATCATTATCCATCCAAGAAAGTACACTGCCAATAAGAGAACGTATAATTAGATCACATAGATTATTAAATTTTGAATAATATATTCAAAATATATCGTTCAAAATATTAAACTAATAAAAATAGCTTTACTACCTCTCTGTAATATAGAATGTGCCCTTTCCTACTTCTCTATCATTAATATACACCGTAGTGTTTGGTTCTTCATGGCGTATTCCTTCTTGTGGTGGCAGAAAACTACTAAGCACCACCATGTTTCAATCTATAAATATTCAGACACTACTTAATAAAAGTGAAAATGTAATTGTTTGAGCAACATTGTGTAACAACAGTGCAATAATATATCAAAGTTGGCGGAATTACGAATTTTTGCTATCTTCCCGTCGGGCATTTACAAACGTCACGTATAGCAAATAAAACGGAATACTTAAGTATTTTAAGTACCGATATAATATAATCTAAAAATAATATAGTCCAGCTAAACGATAATATTCCGGTGAAATAACACATAGTAATCCAGAGTAGTCGACATAACCCTCGATACAAACGTAAATTCTCTTTACGCACGTAAGTACGTAAAGGGGAAAATGAATGTATGCTGAAACAAATAACTCGGATACCGGTGTCGCACTGTTCTCAGGGCTTTCTAACCAAACAATAGGAACTTACCGCTCTCTCGTTTATGCTATAACGAGACGAACGTACGAAACAAGCCGAACGCGAACGTTCGGAGATAAGGTAAAGTCTCTTGCAACGCACGTAAAAGTGTGCCTCCGATTATTTGTACCCACCGTTGTCAGGACAAACGAAATCACAAACGAATACGACACCACCTTTCCGAAGTTGCCTACGAAGTTGACGTGTGTCAAGGATGGCAAAGAGTAGCCCTGAGTGGAATCACGCCAAATATTTACGAACGTGAACTACGTAGCCACGTAGCTACGAAACTACTCGGTAGATAATATGGTGGGTCCTTATTTTCTGGTTGTGTTCCGTACTGTGTCCATAATTTTTTTTTTTTAGTTTTATCCTGTGCTATATTCTATTCCGTTATTAAAAATCCTTAATTTAACAAATATGCTACATAAATAATTATACAGTTTATAATTACCTCATCATCTCAAATATAGATAAAATTAGACTCGTTTGACGCGTTTTCATACGAAACGAAGGAATGATAATAATGTGTATCGCAAATATTTATATTATTTATTTTTATTTCTAAAACTTTAAGCAAATACACGCAACATATTTAAAATTATTTGCAAATTATGTGTAATAAATTTCACCGTGTTATTCTTGCTTATGACGTCACGATTCCAATATGACTGCGGCGATTAGTCAGGAGTCTTAAGAAAGATTTTAATAACAATAAGTATTTACAAGTTTAATTGTAACAATAGAATATTATTATAGTGTAGTATACAAAATTTTATAAAAACAATTTACGATATTATAATATTATATGATTATTTTAACATGGCACTCAATATATTAATGGATTTTACAAATCAAAATAATAAATAAATATACAACAACTGATCCATCCTGATTTTTTTGTTTTATTATAAAATATATGTATTAATAACAGGATGTTTCATATTATTGATATGTTTATATTTTATCCGAACACACATATTTATACAATATATATTGCCGTCATTTGTAAATGCATTTTGAAATGCAATTAAATTAAATTGTTGATCTTAAATTGTTGGTTGCTTTGATTCGCATTAAAAGTATTAAAAAGTTGAACAATTTCGATAACATTAATTTAATCTTTCTAATAAGACCACTGAATAGAAATATTTACTTTCCTCCCCTTCAAAGACAAGAATGAAGTTTTGTGATAGAGTGAGAAATTATTTATATAAGAACTTTTAAATCATCACGATATATAATTTTGATTTTTAAATTTCACTTCAATTCTTAAACATCACTTAAACTGCTATAATTTTAAAGGAAAAAATTAAAGAAAGTGAAAATACATTTGCCATTTTATATGTTATGTATTCATATTTTGAAACTCTTAAAAAATATATACATTTCAGTTTTTCCCTCTATTTTTTAGGAACTATCTCATATATTCTAACACAAGAGAAACCTTTATTTTTAAAAAAAATTAAAATGCGACAAAAGTTATTTTATAAACATTAAATATTCTATTTTGGTTGTGCGAGCTCATAAAGTACTTTTATTTCAATTTTTTTTTTATTTCCTTTCCAACAGGTTTCCTAGAATAGATCTTACGGTAGAATATACAAATTTGTCCACTTAGTATCTGTGAGGGCGATAAAGAAAAACTCCACAATTAAACAATATTTTGATTTTGACATATATTAACATACAAAATTTGTATTTAGAACTTCTTTTATGTGTAAATTAAAATATATATATAATGACATTGATATGTAGAAATAGAGATATAACTTATACAGATATGATACATGTTGCATGTCAATATATATATATATATATATATATATATATACAGATTCTCTTATTAGTACTGATACAATGTTTGCATGCAGATAGAGGGGATTAAATTAAACAGAAAAGCCCTTTATTGTTTTGCGACTTTTGTAATTTTCGCAATGAGAAATTGTGAATTAAAAATCGCCAAAAAAAAGGGCATTTATCGATTTGGCTAAAATGTAAACTCACTAACAAGACATGGTCGTCGTCATTATGCGCATTCGCACTAGAAGCGCGGTATGGAAAATATTATATAAGGTAATATCCTCCAAACGAATATTCTATCATTTGTAGATCACACTTCTAAACGTTTGGCCGCGCTTCTAGCAATCGCGAACATCATATTTTGTCGCGCACTAGCATTTGTCAAATTGAATTGAACTGATACAGGCTCATTCGGCGACTTTTAATCATTAATTTCTCATTAACTATTGCGCAAATCGTAAAATGGTAGAAAATTATTCTACTTAGTTTAATCCGTTCTATCTATACATAGGCGTTATGTCAAATAATTATGAGATATCTCATATATATAAAATATAATTGCAATTTAATATAATACAATATAATATATTTAATGTAATTCTCTAAATATGTGTAGAAGCAATTTACAGGGAGAATTAATACAAATATACGTGTATACACACACACACACACACACACGCACGCACGCACGCACGTATATTATTCATTTATATTTAAATATTAATATTGATTATTCTTAAACATTGATTGAACAATGACATTCAACATATAGTTTCTAATAAGATTTTATATGGATCAACTTTAGAGTTCAAAATAGAGGCAATATGCATCAACACATTGATTGAACAATGACATTTAATGTATGTAAATCTTTAATTGTGTAGATATACATATGGAAGACAAGATAAGGCGGATTGGGAGGTAAAATGATCCAAGGTTCTAGATTTAATAAATGCTACCACATTTCTCTATAAATATCGATATGATTTATTTACTTTCAAAATTAATTTGTCTAAGAAAGAGGAAATAATAAACAAGAAGAGCGATATATGTATGTATGTATGTATGTACAGAAAAAGATCAAAATACATTCCCAATAAAAATGATAACATCAACGACACTGATGAAATATAAATATCTATAACAGAGCGAAAACTGAGAAAATAAATAATAAAGAGAAAATAAAAGTGAGCCATGCTGTAAAAGATATTACATGTAAAAAGAATTATCGAAGCCAAGGAAGCATTGTTCATTCGTTGTCCTAGAATATTCAGTATCCTTTTCGCGATTGTGATCGATTAAACAAGTGTTTCTGCTACAGAAGATGCGTGAACTTCAGCAATAGCTAAAAAAGTATCCATGCAATATATAGAAGATTGTCGTCGGATATCATTCGAGGAATACTCGTCCGGACAAAAGGGTGGCATTTTATTGGATTTCTCGGCAATTTTGATGATAATTTGATTACTATCAATGACGACCTGATTATTATCATCGACATTTTGATTCTTCTCGCTGATATCTTGATTGTTATCCTCGATATTTCGATTATTATCATCGATGTCCTTATTGTTACGGCCGACACCCTGATTATCGACGTTCCGATTATTATTGTCGACATTTTGGTTATTATTGTCAACATTATGATTATTATAGCCGACGTTATGGTTATTATCATCGATGAGATCGGCACGGTCAGTATTCTCCGTACCATTGTTCCCATCGTTTATGCCACTCCTTGTTCTTCGACCACCAAACTGTCGGTGATAGTATTCCTCGCGCATCATTTCATTAAGATTACGCCATCGTAAGCACATTATTAAAATAAATGGTTTACGAAAATCTTTATTAAAAACCGCATAAATGATCGGGTTTAATGCACTATTGCAATAACCTAGCCAGAGGAACAGGGACGTTATTAAATGTGGAATAGCATCAGGATTAAAGAACGGTTTCATTAATGCCAGCAGAAAGAAAGGCAGCCAGCAGAAGACAAAAACACCGACAATGATGCCCAAAGTGGTGCTGGCTTTTCCTTCACTTTTTCTCCTCTTCTGTTGACGTTTATTACAAGTGCAAACTTGACTATTACGCATCCTCAACATCCTTATTGATTTTTGTAATATGTTCCACGCCGGAATTTTTTGGTGCTCATCGGTAAGATGGCGTCTTGGACTATTGTTGCTCTGTAATGAAACATTTTAAAGCGACATTATTTAAAATAGAAAATGAGAAGGAAGAATATTCTTGTGAGAATTGTAATATCGTTTCGTTAAGACTAATCTTCATTCAAAAATATTATTTGTTCCTATTATATGTAAATTATATCAATATTATATTCTATATAAATAATAAATACTTATGCTTTTAATAAGTAAATATCCATTTGGTATTCATTTGAATTTTATAAAGAATACATAAGATGTATATTTGTAAACACTTCTGCAATAATTCTAAAATTACATTAGCAATTATGCAATGTCCTCCAATACTGATATAAATTTTTCAAATTCCTTTTGTTAATAAAGAAATGAATGACTGCTGATTAAAGTATTCAAAATGTTTTTCACGTTGATTGAACTATGATATTTCAAAATTATTGAAATCGTAGGATCACAATCCTTATATCTAAATGATAAAAAAATTTTGTTTATTAAATAAAATTTAATAACAATAATAAAAATCTTCTGAAAAGTACTTAGAATCGATTTCAATGATCTTAACGTCAACTGATCGCCATTGATACAGCCAGCCTGCACAAATAGATTTTGAACAAAACTTGTAAATTTTTGATATCGGAAAGATAACAAATCCGATAGGATCGAGTTTGTCTGATTATATTGCCAAGTTGCAGCAATGTGATAGAAACCGTTGACATTGACACGCAATGCGAGCAAATTGGCAATAGAAATCGAGCAGATGTTGTAATGGACAGTTGTAATGGCGGCAGGATCTGCTTGATTTCTGCCATTAATCTGCTGGCATAATACGTCGACAAATCTTAAGCTTAATACGAATACAGATTGTTATGGATTTGCAGATCTGATCGAATTTGCTATCACTCTGTCAACAAACTGCATTTTGCTATTTGAGTACTAATACGAAATTTTACTACAACTTTTAGTGTACTTTTATATTTTATATTGTTTATTCTTTCATATTATTACATTCAAAGAAATAATGAATGTAAATTAAATATTGATAATTAAGAATTATATTGTCGTGTATCGGAAATCGTTATTTTTAATTTATTAAATTAATTTATTAAGACAGCTATCAACTCAGTACTTATATATAAAATAATGAATATATTTTTCTTTTATAAAAATATTTGTGTTATTATTTATCTATATTAATATTTTTCCACCATAATTATATAGGACACGTGCATTTATTAGCTTCCTGTTTAGTTGCATATAAGTTTAAAGACCGTCCGATTGAATTTAATTGTTGGCTGCTAATGAAATTTATGTAATTGAATAACACGTTATTGATTAATTAAGACATATTTATTTAGACTTATTGTATACTGCAACATCTTTCCCGCGTTAATATATTAAATGCTCTGTGCTGCACATACATATGCATTTAATTAATTTTCTGTTATCATAGGTACATATGATATATGCATTTGCAATAACTTACTATTCATATTTGTTTCTCTATTTGCATAATATTCTACCTATGGTATGTTAATAGCAATAATGTAACATTCTCGTAAACAATTCATTGCTGTGATATTACGTAATAAGCGTTCGATCAATATGTGTCCATTATGAGACGTTATTAACAGACTGTAATAGTATTCACATAAAATAGCAACAATAGTTGACAACAATGTGATAACAACAATGTATATATTGTTATAGCAATGGATAGAATAAACAACTTTTACTTTAAAGTTCGAACTTTGCTTTTACAACAGCAAGAGGTCGGGTTAATTTAAATTTGTTCTTAGGTTTTCTATTTATAAAATTATTTTTTGTTTGTTTTACGAGTTAGAAAATTATATTGTTAAATGCTGTTATTACATTAAATATGTTATATTTTGTGATGATAAATTAGATTTGTTTTATTTAAAAAAATTGGAATTTAAAGTGAGAAGACTAAGAAAAATGAAAAATAGTAAGTTAAAAGTTATGTATTTTCATTTAAAACATAGTTGTGCCTTTCATATGATTTTGATAAATTAATTTTTTATTTAATTTTATTATATATGTCCGCCTCTAGATCGTATAAAACTTTTGTCTGAAACATTTATTGACAGTGCTCAATTTTCAGCTGGATTATTTAAAATAAAATACAATATCTTTATAAATATACTTGCACTTTATATCACTATATTCGGCTGAATAAACACATTCACATGTTAGCTAAATTTTAATAAAAGTTTGCAAATTTAGTTAGAGAAATATTCAATATTGAAAAACAAAAAATTGTGATATAACGTTTCTATTAGTTTATCATTTTATTTAGTCTTTACATTATTTTTATTTTTATACTTATAATCTTTATATTTTTCATATTTCTCTGTAACTACATTATATTTTACAAAAAATGAGCTCCAAATTATTCGCATAATGATTATTCTAAAGATACATTATGTATCGCATGTCTCTGGTAAAATATTGCATGAATGTCAACATCCAGAAATGCTTGACATAGTTTATTACACACTTTATTAAACTTTAAAGACATGCAGAATTTATTTAAGTCAGATACAGACACGGACGTACGCAACATTGCTTGAGAGGAAATGAAGCATATTTCTCATATAGAGTAAAACTCATTGCGAATGTGTTGTATTTATTCTATTAATATTACGTAACATTTGCTTCCATTTATTTTAATTATATATATATATATACGTATATATATATATGTATATTCAATATAAGTTAAGTTTGCAACAATCTTCGCTGATAACAATGATTATTGTTTCTACGGAGTACATTTTACGAATCATTGAAGCAATACTTTCATTTGCTTTTGACATTATTTTGCATTTCGTGATATGGTTGCTATGTATTCATGATTAATCAAAATTAATGATTGTGTGTAATGTGAATATTCATCCGATTTATAAAAGTATAACAATCGGTCGTTAGGCTTTTGGTATGTCTCATCCCCTTTAATTCTCTGATACATTCTGGGGATCAATATAACTGTCTAGTGCGTAATTTTATTGACACACCTACATACATTTCGGGAATAAGTCAGTTTACCGTTTAGCTTCTATTTTATGCTGCAAATTATGTAATGTACAAATATAAATTGTAATTATTATCTGTAATTTGCATTACACACACTTTAACTATTTTAAATAAGATAAGAATTGATTAAATAAGATAAGAACTGTACAAATATAAAAATTTTATCTTCTAGAATTATTTCTCAGAAATTATTTATTCCGATATATTATTGACGACGTTTTACGAACCTAGCAAAAGAAAATACAAATACATATCTGATCTGAAAGGGAGCGGTAGATCAATACTTTATGTTTATCAACCTTATTGCGAAATAAAACGTAATACAAAAATTTGCAATAAATTATGTCTCTTCATATACATAGTAAATAGATTCGCGCAATGCATATTACAATTAAATCATAAGCAACGGAAAGTTAATTGCGTTAAAATATATATTAATAATTCTAATTTTTTTAATTTCTTTTTTATCTCTCTGTCGCAAATTGAATATTGATATCGGATATCGGCAAAACATCTCGACATCGTTGCATATATTAACATGTATACTTTGAATTCTTGCTAATTTATTTACTTTTAGCTAAATTTAAATAAATTCTTAATATCAACAGATTTAAAAAAATATAATGTGACTATAATGATTCCTAATATATATATCTCATGTGATAATTATAACTGATAAAGTCATAGAAAAACATCAATTGTGATACTTTGTGTAGTTTGTATTTTTCTGATCAAACGGTGTACCAAAGGAAAATAGTTATTTACATATTTATGTGCATTTACTGGCATCTGATCCTGATCGGACACAGTGGATCCATGAGAGAGAAATTTGATTTCTACCATAACGTGAGCTTTCCGCTTGAAACTCTTGTCTCTTTCTTTTTATTTCATCGAATTCTGTTTGAACCAGTCAAATACATTCTCTCGAAACCTTTGTCGAACGACAAACTTTTTCTCTAAATTGTGACAGTCGCGGAATATTCTCATGACTCGAAAATATGAATCGATGTTACAATCAAAGTTCGCATCAGCATCATTTTCTAACAATTTTGTGTTTCGTGAAAACAAAAATAGTATATTATACAGAAATTTTTCTTTTGTCCAGGAAGCTCTGGAAGCTTATTATTTTTAACCAAACCAGTCTCGTAAATATAGAGATTGATATATGCTTCGTAATTTGATTTTCCGAGAACAATTTTCAAAGCCCTCTGACAAAGCTCTCTGATGAATATCGGCCGAAATTGATTACTAACCATTCACGAAATTTTATATTTATGAAAACAGCATGCGAATTATTCTATAGTGAAATACATTGAAGAGTTTTGATGTATAGTAGCAAATTATCTTTTCAAAAAAAGATAAAAAAGACGCCAAAAACACGCGCCTTACATTATATAAAAAGGATTATTTATACAAAAAAATTGATATCTGATACAAACTCATAGTCGCTAATAAAATTTAATGTAGCTATTAAATTGTATATAAAGTTCCATTTTAATACGATACAAAAAAATATTTCGGAAAATATGAAAAATATAGAAAAGTTTCAGATAAAAGGTTATAAGGTTTTAAGGGGGCTATATTGATATTGATTCATTCGCAAATGAAGCCATCGTCAATGTTGATATTTTTTTATGACAGCTATTTTTTAAATAGAATCTAGAATATATACTCGGCAACAAAATTATTGCGTAGATAAATTTATATCAAAATTTTGCATAATTTCAAAAAAAAGCATTTAATGAACAATTATTATATTTGAAATTTTTTTTTTTGAATTCTGAAAAGTAAAGTCTACACTTTATATAGCATTTGTCATCGTTTGAATTTACCTTCTCCTCCTCCTGCCATCTTTTCAAAAGTAAGAATGTATTATATCTCTGAAAAAAATTGTTTAACGCACTCTACACGGTTAAATAAATTTTTTTCAAATGTCATCACGGTAATCATCGTAATATATGGCTCCTTGCTCCTGCAAATTGAAACAAAAACGATCTTTTTCGCAGAGCTACAGCGTCAAAATTCCCTGTGCATTTCTGAAGAAAGATTACTACATTACATACGCATGTATGTGTATGCGTATGTGTATGTATTTAGTAATATTAATATTAAAATTACTATCATATTGATCCTTCTTCAAATATTTGACGTTCAATAGCATTGATTAATAATATCGAAATAGAAGCCGATATTAATCATTATCAATCGGATCTTTTTCTTTTTAATAAAATGTGGTAAATAGGCAAATGATAAATAGGCTTTTTCTTTTTATTTCACTCATTATCAAGTCGCAGACCAGATATAGAAATGATACCTACCGTATCTCTCTTGTCATCCATCGTTGTAATGGTAGGGATTACAATATTGACTTTACGGTTTAATTTTGATTTCAGATAAGCTGCGAACTCGCAATTACTAACTTTGATAACTCAATGACCAATTCATTTTTCTTATGCGTATGTTACGTAACATGCATATAATATGCGTAAATATGCGTGTAAAAATTGATAAAAAAACTCTGCACAAACCTTACTGAATTTCTGTCGAATTATAAATTAAAAGATTAGTTTATGTTGTATTTCATTTCACGTTGATATATAAATATCCATTGGATATAACATGGATGTCTAATGAACATTACCTCAGATATCTTATCTGGATATTTATCAGATCTCGTATTGCGGACATTTGGATATGTAAAATATTAGTCCATTAGCTTTTTATTAGATATGAGGATATGTGGGGAGCTACATATCCCCGGGAGCTGCTCGGGAACTCGTTGTGTATGAGAAGATGTGACTGCATGATGTTTATTACGCAATTGCTAAGAGCGGTGAGATGTTTAAAAATGATAGAGCATTTGCTTATAGTGCATATTTGCTACATATTAGTGCGCATGCTATTTATTTTTCTAGCATTATGTATTATAGGTATTGATAATGTTGTGCAAATGGAGGAAAGTTGCCGAGATCTAACCACTTTGTTTTTAGACTCCGTTCTGTTTAAACAAAAGCCAAATATAAAAATATAAAATATAAAATATAAAATTTTTAAAACATAACTATAAACTAAAAAATGTCTTTTACAAATGATATTACAGTTTTTATAATATCATTTTGCATTTTGCAATAATTGTTTTCGTAAGATGAATATCTGAAAAATTGAATCCAAAATTGACGTAGTAGACAGTGTTGTCAGAAAATTCAAATGTGACCAGAGAAATTAATAATAAAGTAAATTAACAAATTATACTTTTTTTTTGCTGATCCATAAACATAGGGAATAAAGATTACATTAAGCGATTTTAAAGATTACATTATGTTATTATGTCTTATAGTATATATATATATATATATATTACCGACAAAGAGAAATATTTCTTTAGATTTATTAAATTTTTTTAATCCAAACAAATTTATTGTTTAATAGAAGTAGAATAATCAAATTAATTCGTTATTTGAGTTAACAAACACAATTATTTGACTTTAAATAATAAATATTGTAACATGGAAGAAAACATTTTGTTGATTTAAAGTTTCATTATTTAATTCCAACATGCGCGCGCGCGCGCGCGCGCGCGCACGCATGCAATGCATTATGTGCACGATGATGTATGGTTGTTAATGCAAATCATAGACGTCAAATCATCTAAAAGATAAAAAAATGTCTAATTTCTATAAAAATATTTCTTGTCATCTTAATTAATAATTGTATTATCAAGATTATTTAATTTACTTTTATCTTGGACTTTTACTTTTATCGGGGAATCTCCCCATTTAGAGAACTCACATTAAAAAAGCCAGATGCTTCAAATGATCTCATACTATATCTTTTATTCTATTCGGTACTGTTTTTATTTATGAGAAACCAAAAAAACCTTGCCGCGTCCATCTAACGGCGATATTACTTACGATTTAATATTTTATTTCACTGAATAACATTTAGTACAATCAAAGAAATTATTTCATTGAAACAAAATGTGTCGAACAATGATCGTGTTCAATCAGATAATATAATTTAATGCAACGAAACAACAATAGTTTTAACAATCAAACAAATAAATGTTTCATTTGAAATTATGTTGTTTGAATCAAACAAATAAAAGTCGAACAAATAGGAATGGGAATATATAACTATCCATATTACTGTGCTTCCTCCCTCTCTCTCTTTCCTCCCTCCCTCCCCCCTTCTGTCTGTTTGTTTCTTCCCTTCTCTCTCTTTATATATATAGAAGTATCCAGATAAGGTTTCCCAACTTTTGCCCGAGGCTGACTGTCGGGCCGACGTCGGCGATATCTTGGCAAACTGACTGTTATTAATTGATCACGGCATGACATCGGCCCAGGCAACGTTAGTCGACTTTTGTTCGATGACGACTCTCGTCAGCCAACGTTGGGCCAACGTTGGAGATGTGTCGTAACTGACTATTGTTCCGATCGCGGTGCGATTCGGTCCAAGCAACATTAGCCGACTCTTGTTGAGGTGACGACTCTTGGGCCAACGTTGGGCCAACGTTGGAGATATGTCGGCAACTGGTTATCATTCAATCACGTCACAACACTGATCAAAACGAGGTAGTTGACTTTTACCTGATGGAAATAATTGTGATAAAAATTATTTTTTATAACATCAAATTAGATTGAAAAAAATTATAATTACACATGTTAATTATAACATAAATGGACATGTTTTTCGAATCGAAAAAAATGATGTAGCATATAACGTAGGAGATTCATAATCCAAAGGTTCCAGGTTTAAATCCCACCAGAGTGTTGTATAATATATTAAATTAATTTAAATAGATTAATTTCAAGTAAAATTCATCGTCTATCATATACTAATATCTTGAAACAATTTTAATTAAAAAACAAAACAAAAGTTCGAAAATATAAATATATATCTTTTTTACGAATATTGAACTAATATCGGCTCAACATTGGCATGCAACATTGAGCCGATGTCGCTGACCAATGTCGATTCAACATTGGTATGCAACATTGGGCCAATGTCGAGCCAATCTTATCATTTGGATATTATGCCGATGTCGGCTCATATATACGCACATAAATGCATGCACAGTTAACTATGCAATCAAATATATTACCTATAATATATAATATATAATATGCAAAGAATATGACTATAATACATTTAAGTTAATAGAGGAATTGTATTAATATAATATAAATAGATAAAAGGGAAATTAAGAAATTAAGGAATACAAAAATAATAAAATAATTAAACATTAAAAATTTATTACAATAATATTTATTATAATATCAATAAATTATGAAAATACATTTGAGCGGCTTTACATGGCATGTTGCAAATACCGCAATAATTGTATAAGAATGAATAGAATTGATAGCGTTTCCCAAGATCACTTGAAGCGCATTTCAATTTGATCAATGAGCCATGTTGGGTGCACTTGAGTGCTTCTTAATGATGAGAAAGATTATGCACCGGCATGCAGAGATATCAGAGTGCATGATCGTAGTGGGATCCATGCTCTTGTGAGGAAACGGCGACGGCAACACAAATCGACTCTTTTATGTCCTTTCATAGTGCTCCTTTCGAAGCGCTTAAATTAACTTGACAATGTATTAAGCTCGGTGATGAGCATTAGATGCATTAATAATTTCAAGATTGAATCATAATACTAATGCAATGCGTTGTAAATGCAAGGATATATTGTTACGTAGTGTGTATATCAGAAATATAACGCACTTCTTTAAATCTTATAGATAAATCCAAGAATGTAAGTTGTAATTGTAAAGATGTAACTTTGTTTTTGAATTAATTCTAAATAAATTTTATTTAAAAAGATTTAGACTAAATTATGTGAAATCTAGTTTAAAAAAAGAAAAGAAATTAATAATTAATTTTACGATAAAAAACTCAGAATATAATTAGAGAATTGTGTCTTGTATATTACTCTTTAATTCCACGTAAAATAAATATTCTAATTCTTTTGATACAATAGAAAAGAAATATGACTTACTGTAGATGCGGTGACTATTCTTATCTCCGGCAGACTGATCGGCCTTATATGTTCATTATGGGAATGTCGTGGACAAATTGTTGTGCGCATATGTGTCCGACGATCAAGAGACACACCCATTTCAAAATCAGATTCCAGTTCCATGTCAAATCGACTCTCATAATAATTCATGGTAGATTTATTGCGCGCGGCAGTATATAGTTTGTAGTTTAACTGCAAACAAAATAAACGGTCTTTAGTATGTATCGTACAACCTATGTTTAAGACAAATCAGATAAAAAATAATTGTCTTGATGAGAAACTAAATTGCACTATTAATAATGCAAAAAATTCAATTTTGTTGTTAGAGTTGCAGTCATACAGAAATCTCTTTCCAGAAAAGTTGACAAGCCTTAACTTCGTGACATTTAATATTAGCAATTCTCAGATATTGTAATGAGTTAGTTACGACTCGGCACGCAGCAGGCGCGAAACGAATCCATTTAGTCTTATTTAGTTATTCTTTCAAATTCAATTAGACGCCATATCTGAGGACGATGTCGCTTAATGTACCTTGTGCAATATCGTCAGACGGGAGTTAGATTTGTCGCAAAGCATAGCATTTGCAATAGAACACTCGCACTAGAACAATCTGCAATTACATTTAGCATTTGGATGAATTAACGTAAATATCATACGTGACAAATTAAATGTTTCTAGTAATTGTATTACATCAATTATAAAATTGAATTATGTGATTCTATAACATATTATTTTAAGAGTACATAAATCTAAATTTGCAAATGCTTTATATCAATTTAATTCCTTCGTATATGTTCTCTCCTATTGCATATATTGGAATTTCCCTTAACACTATATATATTTTATGTGAGTACGAATAAACATTTATACGAAAATCAGATCATATAATGATTAGGGCAAACAACGAATGATGTATTACTACTACATTATTACTATAATAATGAATGCTTCTATAATTTATATTATCAAGTCATCAAGAAACACAAAAAATTTTACTTGCAGCAATAAATAATGCGAGCGGTTGAAATATTTTAATAAACATGTAAAAGCACTTTGTAAATTCTAAGAAATAAATTAGTGGAATCACACAAATTATTTTATGTCTATATAAAAAGTCAATCATATCCCACATTTGTATGAAAACAAAGACACATAGAAATATAAAACAGTTTGCTAATCCATTGATTTATTATTCGATATTATTCGATAATTTATTTAAATGCTATATTGACATGATAGTCCGTGGCAAATTTTCGCATATGCATATTATAAAACTAAATTTTTAGCAACAGCCAAGAAAAAAATTGAATGTTAAATTATGCAATCCTGGCGATAAAATGTAAAAAATTAATTATACATTATGGTGTGTCAGATTGCGTTAATGTAATAAGATTAATAACATAAATTATGTATTAATATCAAATTACATAATTCAATCGATCCTTAATACTGATTGTTATATAAATCGTTAATATTGTTCATCAATATAGAACAATTTTCCACGAGTGTCATTTAGTTTACTTTGTATAATTTCATCTTCATCTGCGTTATCAAAGGCAGCTTTTCCAGTTTGCTAAAATTGCAGGCGCGACGAGTTTATCTCAGATAATCGTGAAATTGATAATATTCACGGTATAACTGTTCAACTTGTGCACAAATATTTACAACATCTGCAATATCTTGAAAAGCTATTAATTGGGAGATTGTATAAATTAAAAATTCCACGATTGACTACAATTGATTTGTCGTTTTTGAGTCAATTTATATTTAATATTTTATAAGTAAAAATCAATAAAGTATTTCCACATTTATTTCACTTTTTTGCAATTTCATTCGTTTGTTATAAAAAATATGTTTATTTTTAAGATAATTTTTTGAAAAAAAGATTAATTTCAATAATTCTTTAAACTTTGATTCAAATCTTTATGATTACATGTTTTTAAATTTTCAAATATCAAATTACAAAGGAAAGAAAAATTATGTTATAACAATAATTAACTTGTTTTTTCGACTCACAACATAGAGCAATTCAATTACTATTAATATATCTATAATATTTAAGTAGTATTATTATTATTATTATTATTATTATTATTATTATTATTATTATTATTATTATTACTGTTTTTGTAAAATAATATATTAAGAACAAAACAAATTAAGAAATAAAGCACATGAATAATGTTTCGCGCTAAGTTCGCGCGAAACATAGTTGTATACGAGACATCCATGATTTTATGTGAGCCCAAACGAATGTAGATCACATTTTCATATCTCAGTAATGGCTGAATCAATGACGTTTTAACTAATTCAATCAACAGCCAAAGATTAAATTATATAGAATATTTCTTAATATGTGAAACTCATTTCAGCAGCGAAAATGGAAAAAAACAATGAAAAAAATTCATATAAACATATGTCTTAAGAAAAGATGTTAAATATTACATGATTACATGAACGTCTATGAGATATAGATTTGAAAAGCGAGTACCAGGTAATCTATTAGTATTAAAATTATTAATGTTAAAGAACAAATCTTATACATCTCTGCACAGCAAATAATGAAGTAAGTGTTCCTAATATAAGAACAAACTGAACTGAAGTAAACTCAATGAACAGAATATGTGAAATCAATAAAGTTGAGAAATATCCAAGAAAACATATCGAACATTGTTTACAAATATAGAACTAAAAGAAGATAACCGTTTCAAATACCTCTTATGAAAGTAAGCTGTACATTGCTGAAACACAAGAATGACTATAATTTTAAAACAAGATCGAATAGGATATATATGTTATAAACTTTTTACATCCTGTATCCGTTGCTAAAGTAGATCTACTTCTTCTATCACATATTAAGAAACATCTTATATAACAAATTAAGTTTTTAGATTTTTCGCATGAACAGAGATATCAAATACAATGCAAAATTTAAATAAATCAAATTTTTAAAAAACATCCACATCGTTGACAGATAATTCGACTTGATTTTCTTATTTTTGAAAGAATCAGCATTTTCTTATGTGCTCGCAGCTGCGAATAAAGTTTACTTGTTAACAGATCTTTTTAACAGATCTGTGTACATGTTTTATAATTTTTAAAAATAAAAATTGATACTAATAAAAGAGAAATTATCATATAATTGCACTATTCTGAATTTATTCTGAAATCCAATCCTAAATAAAGATTTTAAAATATACAACAACTTGGCGCGAAATGTGAGTCATGTTTAAAATCTCATCGTATTCGTATATAATATATGTAGATTAATTGTTACGTAATATGATATGAACATATAATACAGCTTAAATTATTAAATGATTAAATTAAATGAAATATTAGTACCCTCAAAAAAGTTTTTAATAAAGATAAAATTTTAAAAATAAACAAAATATTTTAAAATATTTTAAATTACTTAAAAAAAGTTCGTAATTTAAAATAATGTATATGTAACGTAACTTATACATTTAACTTACGTAATAACATAATTTAAAATATTGTTATAAAACATGTGTTTTACTATAAAAAGATGTGATATATAAAAAGATATTAAAATTCTTTCATCAAATCAGCAATATTGTTTTTTTTTCTTCAGTAATTTTAAGATTATTATATAGTTTGTGTCTACAGTAAATCCAATTGTGAAATTATTTGTGAAATTATTTCCTGGTGAAATAACATTATTTCTATTCGTAACTGGTACATGAAGTTTGGAAAACGATCCTATTAACTCTTTACTCCTATTAATTCCTTAACTCTATTTTAATTTCAAGAGATAGAATGCCATTGCAATGCTATGCATGTCAGATATTCTCTTGAGAAAGAATCAGAAAATTGATTTTGTACATTTTAAAGTATATACCATTTGAATAGAGAAACGTTTACCTGTGTTTTAATTCCTTATTATTACAAATATTTATAAAATTTACATAGCTGTAAATATTTTAAATTATTATACTAACTATAATTATGACGAGCACTGGAATGTAGAAGCAGATTACAACCGCGTAGATTTGGTATATAAAATGCTGACATAACTGACAAATTGTGGGTCCATTTTGCACTTCCTCATACTCGTTTCCCAATACTATAAGAGGTGGCAGGCTAACACACATGGCAAGAAACCAAATAGTGCTGATGTATAAGAACATCCGTAGTTTTGTCCTCTTCCTTTCATATTTCAATGGTTTTGTGATCAGCCAGTATCTTTAACACAAAGAAGAGAAGTTAGAATGCCGAAAGTTTTGAATATTTATGTATTAAACACGGAAGTAAAATCGATCTTTGGGTTCTATAATTAGCTTGGGAACAAAATAAAATGATATTCCGATATTCAATAATGTTAATGCTGCACAGGTTGAGTTTCCGTGCAATTAATACAAACGAGCAAATACAAAGAGCAAATACAGAATTAAGAAATATCACGGCGTTATTCGCAAATATTCAATAAATAGGAAAAAGTTATCATTTTTGTTTCTTTCTACATTTCTACAATTTTATCAAGCGTGATTAGGATAATGTACATACATTCTTTAAACAAGAAAGAATTGGTTAACTATGATAAGAGGAAAATGTAAAAAATATATTAATCAAATGTATTGTTTATATAAGCTCAGTATACAATAAGCCGGGTTTAAGGTTTAACTTCGTATGATATTTGAGAAAATAAATGGAACAGAGTATAAAAAGAAATTAAATGAAAATTTAAATGAATTACTGAACTAATCCTTTATACAAAATTTTCATTATTTAATTTTAAAAGTTATAGCTTTTTAAATATTCTCGAAAATTTAAGTAGCACGAACATTATTTTTATTTAATATTAAAAAAATAACTTAATTATTCTAAAAATTATTTAGAAGCTTTAATAAAAATATAAAAAATATTGTAAAGAAAGTACATCCTATAATATTTTGTAAAATAAAAAATGATTTTATGAATAATATTTACATTTTTCGAATTCTTAACAAGATATTAAAAATTGGAAATGTTCGTCGCATGTCGTTCAATATTCCATAATTCCATTTAATTGCTTTATTTTGTATTATTATCATAAACAACACTGTCTAAATAGTCTAATAAGAATTAATTAATCGAAGACGAATGTGTTGATTAATTTTTGAAATGAATCAATTACGTACGTAATTTGATCTTTCATAGCATCACGAGCAATTACATTATCTTAAACATTCTGTAATATTACTTGTCTGAGACAAATATTAATTTATTAGATTACGAAGAGTTGCAATTTTACTTCTACTTTTGATCTCAGTTTTCAAAATGTTTATAGATTCTAGAGAACTAGAGGTTTATTTTGGATGAATCGAACTCGTATTTTGCATCCGAAATATGTAAATTATAAAGAAAGAATTTCCTATTTCGAGATGTAAAAGAAGAATTTATTTTCAATATAATTTGGATTCTAATTAGAATCAATATAAGTATGTATTAAATAAAACGTGATCAATCTAACTTTTTAAAGTATTAAAATAGATATGAAAATTCTAGCTGAGATCAAAGATAAGAGAAAAAGTTGCGACTCGAACATCTGCGATGACTTCGATTTTCATGAAAATTTGATTCTGAGGTCGTGACTCACCCGGATATCAATGGTAAATTACTGGTGATTAACTCACCGGTCTACGGAAACCATGCAGAGATTGAAGATGCTGGCAGTACAGTTGAGTACGTCGGCACTGAGCCAAATGTTGCATGAGATGGGGCCAAAGTACCAATCGCTTGATACTTGATAGATTACAGCTAGTGGCATTACTAATATGCCGACCAACAAATCGCTCACTGCCAAGCTGATCAGTAGGTAGTTGGATCGTCGAAATCTTTTAAAATATATGGTGATGAAACAGATGGTAGCATTACCTGCTATTGTCAGGAGGGTGATGAAGAGAAGGCCCGCAGTCACAAAAGTAGTTGCCTAACATTAAAAACAATTAT